CTGTTTAGTTCTTCAAGACAACAGCTGAACCTGTTTGCTGACCTCAAGTAGTTGAGAGTGGTCAGAAGTACAACACACTGGACTTTGAGGTAGAATTCATGATCCAATATCAAATCGCACGTAAATCTGTCTGACAACAAAACCAAAAACATGCCAATGAATGAAACCCAATATGAATCCTCATGTAGGTGACTTTGTACGCTAAGGTGTGTTCTGGCCTTTCGGTCCGTTTTCATGATCATTACTGCTTTTTGTTTAATATAAATACATCTCTCCGGTCAAAGATTATTCCCTCTAAACATAATCGGAATTGTAATAAAATAGGCTACAAATGTATTCCCACATTTCTGTTAATTTATAAAACTAATCCTCTCAAACACACAGGCTGTATAGGGCAAGTGTGTAAAAATGTCAGGTTCATTTGTTTATTATGAATCTGTGGGTATAATCAGACCTTTGTCCTCTCAATAATACGAGGTCAGTCATGTGACAGTCAGGAGCCCCTCCGTAACGCTGCCTGCTCATTGGCTGGCTTTAGGTTCTTGTAATAACCGTTCATATTGGGCTCATAAGACACTAAATACTATACTATTAAGTATTATTAAGATTATACAATTAAGCATTATAAACACATTTATTTCAGATAAGCTTTTTATAAGAAACGTGTTAACAGTTTAAAGCCTCCTTTAAGTTTCTGAGTTTCTTATAATTGTTAAATATATAAAAGGACTACACAAATATGTATTGAGTTAACTAACTTATGTATATCCTGGTTTAAACCTTTTTTTGATTTATTACGATTGATACATACTTTATTTTGCATTTATTAAATCACTATGCAATTATAAAAAATGACCACATGTTCAGCAAGTATTGAATCTAAAGCCTAACTAAGGAAAATAAACATTTATAAAGCGATTAACAGTTAACTATGCGTTTTTAAAAAGATGATCTTTTAGACTACAGCTATGCGACCATCTCCCGGGCTGGATGGATGAATTTGTGTCTCTCAAAGGGTCTTTGGACACATTGATGTGTGAATGAGGGGTAGTCAAATAATAATATTTTAACACTATATAGTCCCATCAATACATAATAGCGTTATAATGCATCTTTAATATAAGAAGTGCCTTATTATCTATTAACTAACACTCATTACAAGAACCTCAAATAAAGTATTTCCACTGTGTTTGAACTCAATGAGCTCGATCATAATAGATTGGAATTTGCTTAGGAATTTTAAATCTTTATACAAACTCCACAGACATTTGTCTTTAAGGACAAGGACATTTAAAAAAAAAGGAAACCCTGGTTGAGGTTATATCAAAGGGAGTTTGTGACGGGAACAATTGTAACAGGTCAGAGGTCACACACAGCCCAAACGGATTCAGGGTTCAGTGACAGTGTTTCTTATATCACTGGTTTATAGTTATTCAGTAAAGTGAGAATATACCAATGCTGTGTCAAATATTTAGAGCACAATGAACAACATTAAAATAGGAGTGGTCCCACAAGGAATGTTTAAAGCTTGGACAGCTGCATCACTGAGTCCTCAAACCCTGGATGAAGAGTAAAAAACTTAAATATCAGCCCAATACACTGCAGGCCATCTGAGACAAATGTCATGGAGTTCCGTGTGGATGGTAGTGCTGGTGACGAGGTGTTGCATGCACAGCTGAGTGCTAGTAGGCCTGGCCGGTCTCCACCTGCAGCAGCCCCAGAACAGCTGAGTGGTCGGACAGCTTCACCCGGCGCTGAGCGGACAGACCCACGTTCTTCGCCAGGTAGTCCACAGCAGCTGACCAGAGACAGGAGACACACAGGGGACAGTCAATGAGGTATACAGGAGAACATCAAGAGACCGCTGCAATATGAGCACTTTATCTGATTTCACTATTTATAGGCTTACAGTAGGCATCATCTATACTTGTCCCCACCACTTTTAGAAATGTGGTCCATTTGAATAAAATGTTATGAAAATAGCATGCACAAAGAAGTGTACACTTTGAATATAATAATATAATACAATAGAACATGTTCAATGTGGAGGACTGTTCTCACTCTGGGTGTATTTCTGGTAACCCAAGTGGTGCAGTAAAAATACCTTATGTTGTTTATTTCAATGAGTCATATTTATTTTCCTTTGATCTTCAATAATAATGTTGTCACAACTGATAAATGATAACCAACACATTATCAAGACAGCGGGGAAATTATTAATATATATATTATATAAAGTGTCTTACAAATGCACATTGCTAGGAAATAGCAGCCTGTATTGAGCAGTCAGTATTCACAGGCCTGAGACTAGGCCTCAGGTTGTCCATTCTTAAGACTCCTACAGTTAGTACCTGGCGTAGTAAAGACCAGCTGGTGCAACCTGCTGCGGGTCATAGTCATTGCAGAATAATGCTTGTAGTATCAGAACCGGCCATAAATGAAACATGACACCTGACATTGGTGGGTTTCTTCTCTTCTTTAAATACAGTCAACTTCAATTCTGATTTAGCTTACTTTTTAAAATATTTTTTGGACAATAATGGAGCTCTGCAGAACAGAGGAAGAAGACGTATCAGGATTTGGATACAAACCTGTTAGTAAATATATTGAATATCACTGGACTTGAACATGCATTATTCTGCTGCAGAATTGTTTGTTTCCTGTCTAATCACACTGACTAACAAGAGCTTTGCCAGACAGACAAAAGAGCTCCACAGACAGAGACAGGTACTCAGTGAAATATCTGCAGGTCTTGGAAAGCTGGCATTAATGCTGGAATATGTTTCTGTCTGAGTGCTGAAGGTTGTCCCTCCCTGGTTCAGTTGATAACTTCTCTTCAGAGGGCAGGAGAGAGGAGGCTGACAGCAGATGTGATGTGACATGGTGTGTGCATGTGTGTGTGTTGGCTATCAAGGGGAGATAAGTAAGGCGTGTCAGTTAGGATGCCTGCATGCACAGAAAGGAAGCTGTCACTCAGTGCTGGGGTTTGAGAGAAAGAGGAGCACCTATGGGTGGGCAGGTCTGTCTGCCAAGATGCCAGTCACCCAGACAGCTAGTGGGGGAGCAGTGTGTGTGTGTTGTGTGTGTGTGTGTTGTGTGTGTGTGTGTGTGTGTGTGTGTGTGTGTGTGGTGTTGTCTGATTGTTCTTGCAGTATGCACACACGCACACACACACACGCACGCACACACACACCCAGCCAGCCATTAGGGGGAACAGTTTTATAAAGGTGACCCTCTCAATATCTTAAACATTCAAACGATGTGTTCATGTCCCCCCGTATGTATTACTCTACTGCCTTCTTTTTTTCCCTTGTTTCACTTTACCTCAACAAATTCACTGCTACATCCACGCCATTTTGTGCAAAACATGGGAGACGAGTTTGAACAATAATGAAGTTTTGATGACTTGGAAATCGACAATTCATTTTTTGCATTATATTATATTGAAGATAAATAACTGACTGATAATGACTCGCACTAGCAGAGAAAGAAGATGAAATGTATATGTCCTTCTTATATTGAAAAAAAAAAACAGCTAATGGCCCACAGAGACAACAAAACCAAACAAATGCTTTCATCAAACCTTCATCCTCTCCCTCCCTCCTGGGTGTGCGGCTGAGTCCTTTGTGTCATGTCCTGCCTGCGTCTCAAGAATTGGTGCTTCTCCTCAGGACAGAAAAGTGCACTGACCACGAATAATCAATAAGACTTGCAGTATGTTGCATCATGTTGCAACACCTCAAGAGAATCATGCTCTTCTGCCCTGTCATGCACCTCTTTGTTGTTGAATCAGAAGTTGTTTGTGAACTTTCCCCGACTGCACACGGTCCACTCCTTCACTCTGAGTGGTGACAGGTGTTAGTAGGATTGTGAAGTAGAGACAAGTATCTGGCAAATCTATTTTCTGTGTATATTTTAGTTAAAAACACTCAATCATGTATAATCACTACAAGTGGTTATAGAGATGTGTTGCAAAGGGCTCAGTACTCATGAGGATGCTTTAGAGTTATAAACTTCTTTGAGACAAACTTGGATTTGTTTGAAAAATGGACATCTAGATAGATACAAGCAGAATTAAAATGACTCTACAGGGATTTCGGTAAACACATCTTGGGACAGAGTATAAAGTAAACCACGCACAATGCAAAAGATGCACACGCTTAATGCACTTTTTTGATAAAGTGTCGGGGGGTTCCTTGGTTGGTGATTGACTAATGGTTACACAAGCCAAAAATGTATGACATCATAAAGTGGCCAAAATCTGATCAGCTCATTTTCAGACAGGTTTTTATATAAATCGATCAGGACAAAAAGTGAGCGAATCTTTTTTTCTGAAGCATGTTGATGTATAAAAGACATGAAAAAGAGGATTTTGCATAATAAGTCCCCTTTAAATAAACATGTAAGAATGAAATTAATCCAAATCTAAATCCAGAAAAGAAGAAGTTAGTAGACCATTTCAAGCTTTGCAGGGTTTGAAATTCTCTTTTTTGTCCTCCTGCCATTTTGGAGGTGGATTCCAAATCTACCAGGCTCTGCCATTGTTTATTTTGGCTGGTGAGTGAAGCAAGCTTTAATATTTTACCAGCATTTGGCTGGTGGTTTGTTTTGACTTTCAACCTTCTGCTGTCGCTAAATTAATGAGCGTGTCCTTAACTTTAAGTAGAAAAAAGCAGTCTGCATGATCGGCTTGTAGGGAGGGACGGCCCTGATCATGGCCACAAGAGGTATAAGGTTCTGGAAGACAATAAGGGAACTGTGCAATTAGACGACTTCAACCAATTAAATCTGCTGCCTGGATCAAGCTGCTATAAGCTTTAATCTGCCGCTAACTTTATCCAGCAGCTGTCTGACATGTGAAGGCCGTGAGAATTTGTATTTGATTAAATTGCATGTATTGTGTGCAGTTATCTATCCACTGGGTGGGTGTTGGGTTGCCACCCTCCTCCCCTCACTGCTCGCCAAGATAAGAGCTGAAAAACCACAAATGTTTCAGAAAACACCCGATCCACCCTCAACTTGTTCACAACAGAAACTTGGTGTACAGACGAGAGTAGGTGAAATTATATTCAATATTCAAGAAAGTCTGCATGACAATGTCTTTGAGTGATAAGCAACCGACAGAGAACGAGAGTCTAAAACGGAGCAGAGAGAAGCAAAAGAAGGAAGATGCCTGGAAACCAGATGGACCCAAGGACCTTTTTTCTATGGTTTGTGTCTTAGTATAAGTGTGAGTGCATTTGTGTATTTTAATATGTGTGCTAGTTTGTGTTTGTGACTATTTGAACTCTCGCAAACATGCTTATTGTTCTATTGTATCATGACACAGGTAAATGTGTCTATCATAACAACCAGTTTTCGCTGCAGGGATAAAGATGACGCCTGCTGCTGTGTGCCAGTCAAAGATCAATCTTCTTGAAAAGATTATAATGTAACTTGTCCTTGCCTGTGTTGTTCTGCCCTACAGCTGGACTCTCTTCCTGAGTCGAAGCAGCAGGAGATCCAGAAAGCCCTCCACCTCTTCTCCTTGGGCCCAACTCTGCCCAAGACCCTGCAGCAGGCCAAAAAACACACGTACCGCTTCTGGGAAACACAGCCTGTCCCCAGACTGGGTGAGAAGAGATAACTGTTCCAGCTATTGTCTGTTGGTGTACTCTAACATGAAAGCATTGGCTCAAATGTATAACAAAGGCAAAAGTAATATGCTTTCTTGCTTTCTGTGACAGAATAAGAAGAGAACATTGATCCCAGTTAAACATTTGTTAGCTAAATATAAAGCAATAGCCAGCAGCCAGTTAGCTCTTTCTAATAGTAACAAAATCCACCTACAAGCACCTGTGAATCTCACTAATAGGTTAAACACGTTTTGTCTGGTTTGTTTATCAAAACTGCATCATAAAAATATAAATTTCGGGTTTTTGTGGTTATGTGTTGTACTCATGGCTCTGAGCTGTAGCATGGCAACCAGCAGAAAGGTAACAAAATAAATTGTTTTGTACATAACCCTTAAACCGTAAACATATATTTTTCTATACTTTACGATTTTGTTGTCAGGCTAGCTGTTTATCTTTATTCCAGTGTTTATGTTGGCCTACTAGCTGCCGTCAAAAGCTTTAAAAGACAGATTTAAAGGTGGGACCTTCTTTTTGTCTAACTCTCCTTCAACAAGCACATTCGTATTTGTAAAAGGCTAAAACGAGCTTTACAATATAAGAATATTTGCCATTTACTGAGAGAAAAGACTAATGCAAACCCTTCCAAGCTACTTCTATCAATTTATTGGACACACAGTCTTACTTTTTTACAATCATATTAGAATAAACATCTGTGAGCAGACATGGTCTCATATTCTTCCCAGTAGTGCATGTGTATAGTAAGGAGCATTAGACAAAACAAATACAAGAGGCGCTCCTCAAACATTGCTCTGGATGCCCTTAACTCTACTTCTGATTACAGCCATTGCATACTAATTGCATTAATGTTCAATTCCCTTTATGCAAAATAGTAAGGAGAAGCTCTCTAATCCTATTTAAACAATATACCAGAGCATCCATTTTAAAAAAGCCATTACCAAAAGTTAATAAATCATTCACTGTAATTACAACATTGAGAATTAAGTTATGGTTTACTTCAATTGTTTTTCTTCATACTTGTGTCCTCAGGTGACAGTGTTGAGACTCATGGTCCAATAGTAGAGGGTGAAGCCAGTGTGCGTATGGAGCCCTACTCTCTACCTCAAGGTTTCTCCTGGGACACTTTGGACCTGAGCAACCCCTCTGTGGTAACTTACTGTTATAGTAGTTATTGTTACAACATTAGAAACTTGATCACACATATCTGTCTGATTTGGGTCTTTAAGATGTAAGGAACTGTACTTTTCTTAGTATGAGGTAAAAAAAAAAAGACTGAAATCTTGGAAAATTCATATCATTTCAGTTGAAAGAGGTATGCACTCTGCTCAATGAGAACTACATGGAGGAGGATGACAACACTATGAGATTTGAGTTCTCTTCTGATTACCTACAATGGTAAGCTTCAATGTATATCAGCAAAAATGTATCTTGCCAGTAAGCCTTCTGGGAGATAATGTGTGTGTAACAGTGTGTGTGAGCCTTTATGTGCAAGAGTGTTTGAGTATGCATATCTCCCACATTACAGAACCCATCAGCCTAATCTTTTTTTGTGCTCATTTATGACTGTAGCCTACAGTATGCTAACATAACACTTTTCGTTGTTGTTATTCACACATATTGTATTGACTGTTTTATCTTATCTAAAAACAAGTCTGTTGTCAGGGCTCAAAAACTGACAAACATTGAAAAGTTTGGTCTTATTTTCTACTAAGGTTAGGCACGATAGAAGATTATTAAACCCTGTTTTTGTTATCTTCACCACCATCTTGACTTAAAGGTTGCCGTGATTGACAATTAAGGTCATCTAGTCAAAATGATCATTCTCTGTTTGAGCCTGGTCTTGAATTAAAACACCCGAAACCTCTCATTACAACTGCAACACGACTTTGTGAGTTGCACTAAAGTATTTAATTTGTTTTTTAGTCTAACAACATCATTTTTCCCCACTCCACATTCCAGTCTGACCCCCTGACATGCCGTTATCTGTTACAAGCCGGCTACTCTAATCCCACCGCTGCCTTTTGCCTCTGTGATCTGCATAAACGGTATCTCTGCCTTCAGGAAACACTTACTTCAAAACATAATTTTGTTTGATACGAATAATTAACATTCGTATTCCAGGAACTGGCACAGGTATTTGGCCCTGAGGTTAAAGAAAGCTGCTGTGTTTATTCAGTTGAGTTATCTCAAGCTCAATTATTTTATTAGAAATGATCTCTAATCAGAGTTTGTTGAACTACCCCTGCATGTTTTCACAGATTCATGTTGCAGACAATGTGTTCCTCTTTCTCAGGGCTTTACAACCTCCTAACTGGCTGGCTCAGTGGCACTGCGGTGTGCGAGTAGACTCAAATAAAAAGTTAGTCGGCTTCATTGCTGCTCTTCCCGCAGATGTCCGCATTTATGAGACGTGAGTAGCTCATGAATATATGCAACGAAATGTGAAATATGAGCAGTATTAGTATTCAGAGCACTTGCTTACAAAAAATGAAGCAATTTTAACTGTAAGTGTCTCAAAGCAAATGCTTATAATGTGGTCTCCTGCAGGGAGAAGCGGATGGTACAGGTCAAATTTCTGTGTGTTCATAAGAAGCTACGCCTCAAGCGAATGACTCCTGTTCTGATCCGAGAGCTCACCAGACGAGTCAACCAGCAGGGCGTCTTCCAGGCTGTCTACACAGCTGCCTTAGTGCTGCCCACACCCCTGAGCTCCTGCAGGTAGTAGCTGCTGCACAGGGTGGATTCACATTGATCTGAATGCAAAGTGAAGCCACGATTAGCACTTTTAAAGCCGCTGAAAAAACGTTTTAATATGGGGGATATATTCTCTGCCAAAGGTCACAAGAAGTTTGGTTATTTCAAAGGGCAAACTTTTGTTTATGTATTTGCTTTGTTTACTTGTTTAAAACAGCACAGTGCATTTGGAGGAAGGTGAAGTAACATTTTAAAGCTGATCTAATCCCACCAAGAAGCAGATATGCATATAGAGTTAGAGAGCTAGAGTTTCTTAGTTTGAAACCCAAAATGTTTCTTTGGTAATGGCACGGTGGAATGTCACCAAGTACATTTACTCAAGTACTTTAGTATGATTTAGGTTGTGATGCAGAGCAGTATACAGTGTTTACAAGTGGTTCCTTCTTTACCTGCTGCAGCATTAAAGCAATGAACACATGAACACAAGAACAATTATAATACAATCATTCACTTTTGGTACTTTGGTACTCTTAGTATATTTTGTTGGTAATACTTTCATACTTTTACTTGAGTTTTTCTCTCGTAAGTTTGTTGTTAGTGAGTGTTTTTGAGAGTTTGATTTTAAGCATTGTTCTGCCTTTAGCAAATAACCAAACGTTATCTTTTAGGTACTGGCATCGCCCTCTGAATCTCCGAAAGCTGATGGAGCTGAGCTACCCCGGTCTGAAGCAGAACATGAGCCTGCAGAGAGCTGTGAAGTTCAACCGTCTGCCTGATGTGAGTGTGTGCTGCCACCTACAGACAAAACACATCAGTGCCAATAAAGTCTGTCATTGGCCTGATATGACTTCAACTGATTGACGAAGAGTCTTAATACACAATGTTAAAGGCAAGGCATAACAAGCAAAAAACAAGAGAAAGTTCATGCACTGGTACATTTTGAAGGTTTGAACATTTTTTGCTTCCTGTTACACATCTTCTTTCATATGATAGGAAAAGAACACCCCAAAATAAAACTTTTCTTAAAATTATTTTTTTCTTCTCAGACTCTAAACCAGTAATTGCCACTTCAGTGACACACAAGCCTTTCATTTTCAATCCTATCAATATTCTAAAGGTTTTCACAGAGAGTTTTATACATATATCATTCATGGTGATATTTATATACATTTGTATTCCTAACATTTGGTTTGGTTTGACTTTATGGCTTTTGACAGTGTTTTCTGATTCCAGCTTTCTAGAATTCCCACTCCAAAAAACCTTGACTTTAATATGTCAACAAAATGAAACAATATTTTTTAAGCTGTCTTTATTTAATGTTGATATTTATGTTCTGGAAATGTATGCAAATAAGCTCATATTTAATAAGAAAATGCCTCAAGTAATTTACATTTTTAAACAGAACATTTCAGAAATCATGTAATATGAAAAAAATAAATCTTAATGTAAATGTAATCAACTGGTGGAGGTTTCATTCTGATATACATTAGTTCAAATGAAACCATTTTATCCTGCAGTTTCTCCAACTAAAGACATTGTTTTAAATCATCAGGAAGTTGTGATGACAAGCATCCATATACTGAAAGTCTGTTTTGTTTTTCCTCCTCTCTTCCAGGTGACAAAGACCCCAGGTCTGCGCCGTATGACTGAGGAAGATGCTGCGGGGGTTCACGCTCTGCTGCAGGCTAACCTCGGCAAGTTCCACCTCAGCCCCATGTTGTCTTTACGGGAAGTAGAGCACTGGCTGTTGCCGAGGGAGAATGTGATCGACACCTATGTTGTGCAGGTCTGACCTTACAATTTGTCGATTTAAATATTTAATTTCTTTGGAGAATAAGTGCTTTCCTTACAAAAAAATCTCTACTGCATTATTTATTAACACATTCCTATCCCTCCTCACACACAGGGTGATGATGGCACACTGACCGACATGGTGAGTTTCTACAGTGTCTCCTACAGGGTGCTGAATCATCCTGTGCACACTGACCTGAGAGCAGCTCACCTCCTTTACGTTACCTCGACCACCACAGACCCGGTCGACCTCATGAAGGACACGCTGGTCCTGGCTCAAACTGTGAGTGTCAGAATAATAACCCCCCTCATTTAAAAAGAGCTCAAGGTGTTTGACTTTTAACCTAACCTGGAAAAATACACATAACTTAGCTTACATTCCCTCCAATCTGCATATGTGAAGTTAAATAATCAGTTTTAAAAGACAAAATGATATGTATTAGCGTTTGTATTTCTGTTTAATAAGTGTATATTTGGTTTACTATGATTATTAACAATGAAATGATGTTTTTCGTCACTGACAGAAAGGTTTTGACATCTTCTTAGCTCTCAATGTGATGGATAACCAGAGTTTCCTGGAGAACCTCAAGTTCAGCATCAGTGACAAGAGCCTTCATTACTACTTGTACAACTGGATGTGTCCTACTATGAGCCCAGACAAGGTACTGAATAATGTAATATCTCCATCTGCCAAGAAACTTTACTATAAATTATTATCATATTGGATTATTGGTAATTTCAAGCACTTCATTTGAGTGCAATTTAAATTACATAACTATAAAATCTCACCATTACTGAAGTGTTGGATCCAAGTAAGGGCCTGATTCAAGCAGGATAGGGTTTGATCAACTGTTTATAATCTTGATTTGTGATATTGTCCACTTTCTTTCAATACCATAAAGTAAGACTGGTTGAAATTATTTTACTACAGCTTAAAAATCAGTAACCTAAAATGACTAGTGCAAACACACACACTACTGTAAGTTTAGTGCAGGATGATTGTTGTGTTTAATAGCTGCTAGTCATCAGTAACTCATAATGGTAAAAGTAATGCCTGTATGTTTTTCAGGTGGGCTTGGTGTTGCCCAACTAACCTGCCACTAAAAGGAGACAGAGTGAAGAAGATGAATGGAACACAGTGATTTGCAGGAAATTGGGAATCAAACTGCATGCCCAGCATTGATGACGTTTAAAATGTTAACAGAGAAACTGTAAAACTGAAACACACTCAAAAAAGTCAATAAAAGAAAATAATTCCATTTGTTTTCATCACCCGGGTGTCAGTAATTTACTGGGTTCAGTGTTATTGTGACAGGAACTTCTGCGTGCATGACATCTAATATCAAAGCTACCAATACACTTATTTGATTAAAGAACAAGGTCATTTACCATTCTCACTTAATGCACATATAAGATCACAAACTGCCAGACGTCAACACAATCATCTTAAGCCACATTAAACATCATGTGAAACAAAAAGCAATATGCATGCTTTTGAAAAATCAGAAAACATGTTTTTAAAAGTGTAACTCCTTACACACATTATAAAAAATATACCAAGACAAGATGCTTTGGTATTTAATGCTCTTACAAATATATCATCTGTATCTTCCAAGTCAGCATGTCACTCTGTCTTTGTGTAACTTTACGTGGAGAAGAAGAAGAAAGCTGATCATTCACATAATTTCAGAGTATCATGCTCATTTCTGACTGAACCCATTTTAGCGTATTTCTCTAGTAACAATATTATCATTGTTACTACAGAAAGATTCTTTTTACTATTCAGCAGGAACTGATTACTATCCATAAATCCTCGAGGTACAAACGTTGTCTAAATACAAACAGCAGGGGGCATTGCGACCTTAACCTTATTGCGATCATTTTTAATGGTGTCAATAAACAACAACAGATGGAATGTAGATGAAGGCATCACCTGCTTTGCATGTCATTGATGCGTTTGATAATCACAAACATAAATCCCCTGTGTGTTAGACAGTGAGCAAATAAAGCCATAGAAAGACAGAAAGATAGATAACAGGTCGACAAATCTACCTTTACGATGCTTTCAAGGGCTGTTGAAATAAATCCTGCTACTACGAATAGCCTGCAAGTCAAGCTAACACAACTAGAATCGTGTTATTGTACATGAACCTCTCGTGTAGATGATACAAAACGAAATACTTTAAAATGTTACTGTCGATCAGTAGTGCCCACTGCCCACCCAGATTGTCCTTCGCCCTAGATGGTAAAAAGATACATTTAAGGGGTCAAACATTCTTCATTTGGAAATAAAGAAGAAAAAACGAAATCAATATTTTGTCCTACTTTTTTTTGTGTGTAAAACATTGGATATTTTTTTACATTTCATCAAATAAATGTACATTTACAGAATTTACATTTGAATATCGAGCAAATGACTCAAATTATTATATTTTCAAAAGCTCCTTTACGTTAAAATAAGTAAGTAAGTACAAGAAGCCTATCTAAAGTTTAAGAATGTGAAAACGTCTCTAGAATGCATTTGAATGTTCACTTACAACTTGTGTTAGGCTGCGTATAGATAGACAAAGTCAACATTTGAATGCCACATTAACCAGAAGCTCGTGAACGCACCACCTCCCTGAGTTTGGACCAATCAGAAGCGAGTAGTCATTTTAAGTTTGAAGTTACCGGACCTGTCTGCTGCTGCTCTCACTATCTGCACCCTGCCTGGGCAGGACAGAGCCGTATCTCTTCGGTGAAGGATGGGTAGAGCAAGCTGAACTATTTAAAAAAAAAACAGAAGAAGTAAAGTGTCGATATATATCTATTTGTCTTTCCTTCTCGTCGAGGACTCGCTCGGGCTGAACGTTAGTGACGTGCTGCGGTTAGCTTTGTCAGGAACTTTACAAAACATACGTGCTGTTAAAACCTCAGTGTGCTATTTAGTTTGAACAGCTGTCTAACACGGCTCCAACAGTCTTATCTCCGTGGATGTTGTGTATGCTGAACACCATGAATAATTGCAGGTATGTTATGCACGACATGAATTGGCAGTTTATGTTGCAACATTGTTATGATTGCACTGTTGCAGCGCATGTTACTATGAGGCACTAAATGCAAGCTTCCTCTGAACATATTTCACAGGTGTATGAGGAAATGCTAATCAGTGCGAGTCATATGTTTCGCCACAAATTGTTACATTCAAGGTCGAGGAAATGCGTAGTTTTGTGTGGAAACGCTGTCACGAAGTCTCAAGACTGTCATTGCATGTGTCAGGGTAGTTTCCAGCATTATTCATCATCCTAGCTCTTAAGAAAACAATGGTCACAAAATAAATGCATGCTTTTTGTCATGCTTTTGCCTTTTCATATCTTAATACTCCATCGAATGCAAATGTTTCTGTCGCTGGTTGTGACATATCAATGGACAGAAAGACCACGCCAGCTGGTTTTATCCATTCACCCACTGTCTTCATTTAGAAAATTGGTCAACAGAGACATTTTCTAACGACTCAGTCCCTTTGCAAACAGTGACAGAGTGGAGTGAGCTGTTGGGGTTGAGTTCTGCAAAACCACCTGTGAAAACAAAGTGATAAGAAAGAGTGTGAGAGCAGAAATGGCTGTCACTGTATACCCTTATTTTTCAACTCCTACAGCCTACACTAATGTCACAAGTTGGCACAACATAGTTTGGAATCAGAGTCATGTTTATCTGTGTCAAACTTCCCGAGCTATGCAAATACTTGCAAACTGCTTGGGTAATGTCTGTGTACATGGATGAGGCGTATTTGATTTTCCTTTGAGATAGTGGCGAATGTGAGGTGTAGCCTTTGTTTATTCAGAGTGTATTTCTTTCAGCAGTCATTTAAACTTGGTCTGGCTCTTATCACTTGTCAACAGGCTGCACATTCAAAGGCTTATGTTCAAAACAATGTCATTTTGGTGAGAAAAATTGTGTAATCTGATCTTCATAACAGTGTGTCTTCAAACTTGAATGTGTAAAAGTGCAACTATTCATTCGAAGAGTACATGTTACTCTTTTTAAGCTTCATATCCGAGGGCTATGGTATTTGGGGCTTGCTAGAATGTATTTTTCCTCAATGTACGACATCTTTATGGCCTCTGTCACAACAGGTTCACCTGCCTCAGCCAGCTGGTGTTGAGCAACAAGAAGACTGATGCAGGCCTTGATAAGACAACTCTACTTGTCAGACACTGAGCAAGACGACACATGTTACACTTTAACTAATTAACAACACCCAGCTTCTTTGTGTTACTGTTGTTGAGAAATAACTAAAAGTTAGTATTAACTGAGTACTATCTTGAGCAGAACAAGCAGGGTGTGGCTCCTGTCATGCTAACATACATTCTGCTGCTCTTTACCTGCCTCTCCTTTGGACCGTGTAAAGACCCCAAACAAAGAGACATACGCTTCATTGTTGTTGAACAGAAGTGAGTGTTATGTGGTTATCATTCACCTGAACGCCTCGTGCCAGACTGGGGATTTTGTTACCTTCGAGAGGGCTTTTGGGGTGTGGATGTGGGATCCTGCTGAAGTGACTGACTTGTCTTGATTTTCACTGGAACATCCACTTTTTATACATTTAAACTGTACATCATGTTTCAATGCCTGAGCTGCTTATATTATGAGAAAGCAAGGAATGCATGGGTTTTAATGACAGTGGTGTTGTTTTTTAATTCTGAGGACTTTTCCTCCCCCTAAAGCTTCAGATCAGTTAATGCAGAGGTTCCAAAACCTATTCTCTAAACTATAGTACATGCTCCTGTACAAACACAATTCATTGCTAACAACAGATTTACTCAGAATGTGCCAAGTTATGAAGGTGTGGGTGTGAGATTTTATTTGGCACGCTGAGTGAAGAGAGATCCAAAATATACACTTGTGCCTCAATTTAGTATTAGATGATCAAAGATTTACTTTTGTGGACTGGGTATGTCAGGCTTTCATTGCTTTTTACATTTTTGTATAGAAGAATTTCCCCCTAATCAGTCGTTCTGCACATTATGTTATAGAGAAACAGTATTAGTATATTGAGCATTCTTCCACACGTGTTACTTAACAGTTAAATGAGAAGATACAGCTGAGCTGCGAAACTTGGCTGCACAAAGTCAAACACGAGATCCACCACTCAACCCCATCCTTCCCTTCCAACCTATCCTCTCTCCACAGCTCTCAGAATGGTTGGATGTCAGCTGCACTGCCAAAAGGTTCTGCCGTACAAATATTTATACAAAGCAGAAGGGAAGTGACAATGTGAGCAATAGGAACTCCACAGGGAAAGTACTGGGGGTTACCCTCAGGCTAATCTCCACTAAGACATGTTTATAAACCTAGCTAGCAGTTAGAGTGGAGCGCTTCCAGCTTCGTCACCAAGACGCTAACTGTATTTGGTCAGCCACCGCACAGCGAGGTCCACTTCAATGACGTCGTTAACCAGTGTATCATTTGCATGGCACATAAACATATGGTTGTACTTCAGACTTTCATTTGATTCGCACACACATAACAGTTTCCATGTGTAGGGGCAGCACAGGGCTTCTCTCCATGCTAGTTTTGACTTTGTTGTAGCTTGCCAGAGCAGAATTTCCTCTGACACCATCATCAACTAAAAAAAAAAAAGCCTCTGCGAAAAACACCAGTGTTTTCAATCTCAGTCAAAACAAGTACGGTTATGAGCAGCTTTTTCTGTGCATGTCAACCAGGGTTTAGAGCCTTCATGCGCATGTGAGTGAAAGATGTTGCCATGAAACCATCCATTAGTAAAACATGCACTTAAGAAACGCGAATTTGTAAACCATATGCAGGGATATAGTCAGAGCAGTGTGGTTAAACACAGCAACATTTGAATGTGATCTATAAGGGGATGTAAAGGTTGCCTTAAATCTATCCTTAAGGACCAGTTTACCGAGGGTATTTAAATGGTACTGCACTCTTTCTGCCTATTCTTAGTTTAATTGCCCATAAATTGTGGTTTTAAACATGTTTGTGATTTATCACCATGAATATGAAGTTGGTTAGCTAAGCATAAAGGCAAGATAAGGAGATAGCTATCCTGGATTTGTTCCAATGCACTAAAATGTTCCTACAATGCATCTCAAACCAAATAGATGGCTTTTATTATTTTTTTAATCTAAAAAAGTCAAATTTTGAAGCACAATAAGTCCTGGTTTATGTGCTGGGAAACTTTTCGGCTGGGAACAGTGACTCAGCGGTTGCTATTCAATGAGCGGAAAATTTAAGTCTTAATACTCTGCCACATAATCCCCCCAAAACCAAACTTCGGCTTTGGTATGGATTTAATAAAGAAGATATAAAGGGTTAATTAATGGGCTTAAGAGGTATTTCACCTTCAGGGTTCCAGCCTTTTGTGCTAAGCTAAAGCTAAGCTAACTGGCGGCTGGCTGTACTGTAGCTCCTTATACATATACAGTTGCAAGAAAAAGTATGTGACCCCTTTGGAACTACCTGGATTTCTGCATAAATTGGTAATAAAATGTGTTCTGATCTTCATCTAAGTCACAACAATAGACAAACACAGTCTGCTTAAGCTAAAACCACACAAACAATTATATGTTTTTATTGAACACACCATGTAAACATTCACAGTGCAGGGTGGAAAAAGTATGTGAACCCTTGGATTTAATAACTGGTTGACCCTCCTTTGGCAGCAATAACCTCAACCAAACATTTCCTATAGTTGCATATCAGACCTGCACAACGGTCAGGAGGAATTTTGGACCATTCCTCTCTACAAAACTGTTTCAGTTCAGCAATATTCTTGGGATGTCTGGTGTGAATCGCTCTCTTGAGGTCATGCCACAGCATCTCAATTGGGTTGAGGTCAGGACTCTGACTGGGCCACTCCAGAAGGCCTATTTTCTTCTGTTGAAGCCATTCTGTTGTTGATTTACTTCTGTGCTTTGGGTCGTTGTCCTGTTGCATCA